AGAGCTATATCAGCCGATAAGCTGCTTGTTTATGAAAATTGTGAAAATTTATCTCTTGTATTGAATTGCTTTACTTCTACAAAAAATAATGCAATGAATTTATAAGAACTATTTGTACTAGCCTATGATATTCTTGTATGATTTGGGGACTAACTAGAAAACAATTGTATACTTGTCTTTACAGTGTTAGCCATTTTTAGTCGAACATAAAAACTTGTTGATTGTCTTCTGTGTGTCTTTGTATGCGTGCATGCTCACCTCTATCTTGGACATGCCTTGAACAATTACATTCAAACTTCACACATACATCATACATCTTTGGATACATATGCACGTCTATTCTTTTCATCCAATTCAAGATGGCCAAATGAGGGCAATTTAAAAGTCATTAGAATTAAACATTGATGCTATTTCGGAATCGGTGTATGGATGAATTTGGACCGACTGGTGGCCATTTTAACAATACTGTTCCAGAGCCATATCTCACATATCTAACATGCCTTGATGAATCATATTCAAACTTTATAGATACATCATGTCACATACATGTACATGGCTGAATGCTTCAAGAGCCATGTCTTTGACAACATATTAACTGATGGCAATCAAACTTAACAACTACTTTATATATCATGTTATTTGTTTCATAGTCATAGTGTTAACTTTGTGAATATACTTTGATACTTGGTACATGTATGCTGTTAACTTGAATGCACATACATGTACATGTATTTGTTTCATGATCCAATTCAATATGGCTGAATGACAGCCATTTTAAGGTCAACAATGCATGAAAATCACACAAATGTTCACTACAATGACGTCATTTTATTTTTTTCAAATCACTTGATAGTTTAAAAATGACTGGTGGTCATTTTGTTTTGAAGAATGCAGTTCTGAATCCATATCTCTGAAATGCCAAGACCAATCAAGTTCAAACTTCACACATACATGTACATCAGGCATCATCTCATACAGGTGCACATGCATTTTTAGCTCCACTGTACAGTTAAAAACGTCGACACAGCGGAGCTGTTCATATTACTGATTGTCCGTCATCGACGTCAGCGTCAACTTTACAATCTCAACTTCTTCTTTGAAACTGTACCTTGGATGGTGATTTTTAGTCAAAATTGATGTTTTTGACGACTTCTTTGAAACTGTAATTCTGAATGCTTTCTAA